AAATCTAACACACTTACACCGACATTGGTCATCATCATCATGAAACAATCACGGAATTATCCTCATGTCATGGATTTGTCACTTAACAGGTGGGACAGCTTCGTTCGCGTTGCACGTGGCCTTTCGTTCTTGAACAGCATGTACGTGCCATACGCAGCGGTGTACTACGTGGATCGCGTTCATCTGATGTGCTCCATCAACGCCGCCTGTCACTATCTCGCCATGTCCGATTATCTCACTATGGAGATCATATTGTTGGCTTTCGGTGCGTTGGTGCAATGCCCGATTTGGTTCTTCGTGCTACTCCTCCTGGATATCAACAAGAGCGGCGGCAATGTCAGCGATATCTTTAAACGTTACTTCCTGGTTAGAGCCAATATTAATGTTTAATGTTATCACTTAAAAATTTTACTATTCGCAGGCCTGCTTTTTCTTTTTTTTTCCTTTATGTACAAATATATGTATTTCGTCCAACTGCGTCTTATTAAAAAGAAGAAGGCTAGTGAATTTTTCAATTTTCTTTATTTCTATAATTTATTTGTAGATTTCTTCATTCGATCATAAGGTATATCTGGAAATAATTTGCTAGAAAAATCCAGTAGTATCTATGCAAAATTATATAAATATGTAATATATAATATATTTTGCACATTTATATATATCTGTTATATAATTTTCTAATTATTTAATAAATAATATTCCCAATGAGCAATATTTTTATAATTTGTGACATACATATTTCAATTATACTGTTTATGAATAGATAATATATACAATTCAAAGATCTTAAATTAAATCTATCAAAAAAACACATCTACAATATATTTTCGTGGAAATATATTAAATATATTAAATGGTGGAAATATATTAAATATATATTTAAATATATTAAATATATATATATATTAAATATATATTTTTTAAATATATATATATTTTAATGTATATTAAATATATATTAAATATATATTTTCGTTATCTTTTTTGTTTTTATAGCGTGATGGTGACTCTGTTCGTGAGGAAATTATGGAAAATTCGGATATTGGCGAACACGAAGACGCGGATGTAAAGAACGAGCGACAGAAGGTTTTCAATTTTGTTGTTTCGCCAGCTCTTGGTCAAGAGCCGCCCTTAGTATTGCTTCAAGTAAGTTAGTACATACCAAATTATATCATTTGTTATTAGTATATAAGTATCAAATAATAAATTCCGCTAAAATACTTTGCTTGATCTTACTCGATCAAAATTCTAATAATATCTATAAATTCAATTATCTAATTAAATTTATATTTATATAGAAAGATATTTTGTGTGTGTGTGTGTGTGTGTGTGTGTGTGTGTGTGTGTGTG